CCGAATCGCAGCTACCAAAGCAACCGATTTATTCTCCTTTGTTTTTCTATTTTAACCTAATTATAAAATTTTTCTTCTATTTTACTTTAATTGCCTTAAATTATACTGTTTTATACAGCCTATTCATTACAATCTCATCATTTATGCGTTAAGCTAGCTTGGAAGTCGGCAAATTCTGTTCTACCTTATGATGCCAGGCTTACTTGTCCATAGTCTGAAACAAAACGATGGCTTCTTCAACCTCCATGCGGTCCCAAAATAATAAAAAATAGTAATTAACTGAAAGACCTGTGGACAGTTTCCGCAGTTGACTTACGTAAATCCTGGCCCTTATCTCCTCGATCACTGAATCTACTTCCTCATTGTTGAGATCGTTTAGCAGAAAGACAAGCAATGCCGCCAGACTCTCTCTTGTAGCAGAAGCATTGATGTCATTACGGCCGCCTATTTCTCGCCTGAAATTGCTCCCATGTCTGGTTCCTGTTCGTTCGGGGTCAAAATCGACGAAACTCGGACCAGCTGCGTCTGAGACGACCAGACGTCCAGCCTCGGCGGACCTGGGAGACAGCAACAGGATCGAGAGAACAGCCAATAAAAGATAGCAAAGCAGGGATCGCGACCAAAGTAGCATCCGATCTTGACGATGTGTTGACATGCTATAGAGCAAAAAGTTGCGGATAGAGATGAAGAAAGTGAAAGCTGGTACAAGTCAAAAATTGGAATAGAGTCTAAAGAAATATCTAAAGTGCGAAGGTTGTTTAGACATCCGTAAAGAGATATGAGGGGCAATCAAACAAAGTTGTGAGCTTTTTTGGCTAGAAACGCTTATTAGTATCATCGGTCCATATTAAATTTAATCATCATTACTTACTTTCCGTCAACAAAGATAATTAAGCTGGACAAAATGTTCAGCGTAAAAGAGGGAGTAGACCAGGGAAATTAAATAAATCATCGTCTAAGAAGAAATTTCAAAACTATCGGGAAATTCATTTGTTTTATGATTTTCATATCTTAAAGAAAGGGAGTATTTTACTTATTTTAGAACAAATATAGACTTAGATACGAAGATCAAGATGCCGTGGTCTCTATTTTGGTAGCAGTCTTCCTTCATTTTATAGAGGCAGTTTGACCTTGTTTTCGTAACTTGATTATGTTGACAGGAAGACCCAGAAGAACGTACCTATTCCAGAACCAATAGTAGACATGATAATTTTCAGAGTCCGACCGTGGACCTGGTACATTCCCAGACTTTTCGCCGGAATCGTCAATGAGTCTTGTCATTCTCGCTAATTTAGATAAAATGGTTATGTAGTTTCAATCCAATCTCATCAATTTCGGTCAACGAATGCAAGATTGGAATTTCTTGTGAAATTTCATTTGATACAAAAAAACTTAAAGTAATGAAGTCTTAATCTAGGGCCAAAGTGAATTGGGTTTGGCTGGTTGACTTTACTATGATGCTTTTTTTAAAAACCTTTTGTCTAAGCAGCTGATTTGTATGTCGATATTTAATTGGCCCATATAATTAAGAATGGTTAAGTAAGTTTGATCACCATCAGTGCTCTGACGACGATATCAAATCTTTCATTAAAATTTCATAGCTCATTAAAAGTCACTTCACTCCAATAGGACTTCAACAATTATTCAGGCCGATCTGCATCAGTAAAAAATTGTCTATCAAAATATGTTTATTATTATAACATTATATAATGATTGTACGAATCATGTTAGATTTTGCAATCATATTTGAGCCAACTCCTTGGTTTGAAAGACGTTTAGGACGCAAAAGTTAAAACCTAAATAAAATACAAATATTTTGGTGAATTAATAGTTATGAGGACTTTCATTTAATATTGAAGAACATGATTGAAAGATTTGTAGGTCAATTTCCCCAGAAGATGACCAGTTTTACTGAAACATTCTTGTTAACGTTGTTTCCGAGGTAATCTCCTTCGAATCCGGTGAAAACGGGCTAGGCTTACGTCCATCGTATGATGAACACCATCACAGCAAGGTGTCATCCTTACAATCAAATTCGGGCCAGCGAGTCGAAAAAACTCACCGGCATATATTTTATATATCTGACCTCTTTGGTGAGGTATAAAGTGATTTGGTTAGTTCCAGTCATGTGTCAACCTCGGACGACTCAACTAGCCTTTTCTCGTTTTGGTTCTAATCACTGTGATTCCTCTGTACTTCTATCCTACACTTTCTCCTTCACATTAAGATAAAAAAATCTAATCAAAATAACTAAGCAAAACACTTTATACATCATTAGAGAGGTCAGATATAGAGTATATATACAGCATTTTAGGAAGAAGACGATGAAGATTCTTGACTTGTTAGCTTGAATTTGGTTGTAACGATGATACCCTGCTCTGATGATGTTCATC